GTGAAGCCTTCTTAGCACGCCAGCCAGGCCTCCATCTGTGCCTCTCTGGCACTTGCCCTTTTACTGTGCAGGTCCAAAGAGACACCTATATTCAGTTTGTCAAAGTCTGAAATAAGCCTGTCTTTTAATTTCACTGACTCCAGTAGTAATTTTTTTAGAGAGCAACTTGGTTCTCTGGCAGTTACATGCCAGGCTAATTCTCAAAGGCCAAGTCGTGCCATCCCACTCCCTCAAGCTGCTTGAGCCAGATCAGAGTTTTCTGAAACACTGCAGAAAAGAAGTTCTCCTGGGGCATCCATTAAGAAGTACAGTTAGGCATTCTCTAAGAGTTTGGTTCAGCAGGTCCAGGGTCAGCATCTGCATGCCTAACCCAGGGTCCCAGGTGATCCTTACTATTATTGGACCATTTAAGGAGAGGCAGGTGGAAGTGCATATTCTGTCAAGCAAACCACTCAGGAGCATGAGAGTGATGAGATCAAGGAATCCCAACCATGTCTTCTATCTCACCTGGAACAAAATCTTCACCCTTTTTGCCACAGCCTGTAGCCCTGCAGCCCCCTCTGCCCTCTCCACCCCACAGCCTGGCCATGCTTCCCTGGCTCCCTAGCCTAGTCACGCTGCTGTCTGCCAGTCTGGGAACAGGCCCCCTGCATGCTCCGGTTCCTCTGTGGGAAATGCTCTCCTCTACAGTGTACCAGGCCAGCTCCCTCTGCACATTTCAGCTTAAATGTCACCTCACAGAGAGCCTCCCCAGCCACCTCTTGACAGAGGTCCCATTCTTCTCCAGGAAGCAGAAACTGTCTTGTTTCTTCTGAGAATGATATTCAACATTGTTCCTTGAGGCCAGGAACTTGGTTTAGTTCAAGGTGGATCCCTGATGGCTAAGTCAGTGCGCAGCACATACAGCAGTGGGCAATGAGATATCTGAGGAAGGAATGAAGAGTTCTGTGGCTGGAGTGGAAGAGAGGAGTGGGGCAAGGTGGGGTGTGAGGCAGGAGCCAGAGCACATGCTCCCCCGCAATGTCTGATGAGTCCTGCCAACCCCCACCTACCCCTGCCCCAGGAAGCTGAGCTTTTATGGTCCATGGTGCCCTGGGCGGCGTTACCTGCTTGCTCATTCAGCTGGTTATAGCTCAGATCCAGGGACTTCAGGTCTGTAGGCCAGCAGGAGTTCAGCAAGGTACTGGGCCGCCTGCTCCTCCAGGCCATTCCCTGACAGCTGTATCTTCTGCACAGCCCGGTTGATGGTGAAAGCAGCACAGGGCCTGGGCTCACCCTCCCAGCTGGTTCTCCAGCAGTCCACAGCTGGGAGCTGGAATCACTTCTCAGTCAGTAGGACACAAAGCTGGGCACCTCCCCCGACCTCCCTCTTCTGCCATCCCCCAAACCTCCAGGTCTGAGGCAGAGAGGCCTTATAGAACTGTCCCGAGGTTGGATGGTGGCTCTGGCTCCCAATGGCTGGGTCCCCTGCCCCGACCTCCCTCTCCTGTGGCCCGCCCATGAGCTTCTGTGTCAAGCGGTTAAAACTGCCTACCTCCTGGTACTGTAGAGACTGCTGTGGTGGCGGACAATACCTATCAATGACTGTATCTGGCAGATATACCACCACTTCAGAAGCCCTTACAGCCCCATCGCCAGAGTTGTAATAATAAGCCAGGTACGCCATCATGGGCACCCCACATGAGTCACTGCGCTCTGCTGACCACTTCAGGGCGCATTTCACTTCATGTTTGCCACAGCCCCAAACATGAGGTCTTGTGGGCCATTCTGAATTGGAAACTGAGCTGCTGTAGTCACCTGTTTTCTCAGTGGCAGAGCCAGCATTTGGATTCAGCTCAATGAACTCACCTTGCCCACCCCCTTTCTTGAACTTCCCCAGTCCGCAACTCTCTGTGTTGTGGACTTTCTACCATTCAGGCACTGGGAGTCTCTTATGTGCAGTGCAGGGCAGGAGAATGGAGTGCCAGCCAGCCGAGGAAGGAGAGTGGTGGGGTGGGGTGGGTGAGGAAGGGACTTGTATCCAGCATTGACTGCACAGCGGAGGGTCTAACTCCACCCCACATGCCCCCTCCTGTGATGAGGCCCCTCCTCTATCCACCAGCAACACCAACCCAGGCCCAGGTGACATGGCCCAGCTTTGGGGGTGGAGGCACATCCCTGAGAAAGGGAGGACTGACACCTGCCCACCTGCCCCAGGCCCAGCACCTACCACAGATGCTGCTTTGCTCCAGGGCACCTGCCAGGGAGAAACACTCTGTACCTGCCCCATAGAGCCCATTGTCCCAAAGTTTCAGCTACTTGACATATGGATTGGAGTTCAATGGGAAGCCAGGCCCGGCACTTGCCCTGGGACAGACAGAGCAAACACATAGCCCACTATCTGGCTCATGCTCCCGGGGCTCAGCCCACTCCGTCCTGACCTGGAAGGGTACCCTGCTTCCACCTGCTTAAGGGACACCTACTTCTTTAGGCCCCGCCTGGGCTCTCCCCCACTCCCACCTCTCCCATGCCCCCAGTGGGTTAGAAGCTTGCAGGCTCCCCAACCCTTAATGCCATCTGTCATAGCCTCAATCCCATCTGTCTCCCAGATGTGGAGGTAGGGCATGACTGCTTTACAGGCAGGAAGCTGGCAAGTGTAGGGGACAGACTCAGGAGCACTCCATGGCTGTTGTTGTCTCCAGGGCCTCTCCCTGTAAGCCTGGACCCAGTCTCCTTTCATTTGAGTACCTGGGCCCCCAGGCCACCATCTGGCAGGTTCAGCTCTGGGGGCGCTCCTTGGCACAGAAAGCAGAAGATGGGCACAGCGCTACATAGATCGGCAGGACCTCAGGTAGAGGGTGTCCCCGACCAAGTTCTCAAGCCCATGGGTGCTTGGTAGGAGACAGCAGGATGAATGCTGGAACCCCTGCATGGCTGCCAGCCACCTGCCTTCTCCCCTGCCCTGCATCACTACCTGGCCTATTGTTTGCCTCTAGAAGCACTGCTCCCTACACTCCTTGGGACCACTGCCTCATATGACAGATGGGAACATCGGGGCTAAGGCAAGCGCAAATCTTTTCCTTAAAGTCATACAGCTGTCAAAACCGCTGGACAACCTGAGCAACATAGTGAGATAAAAAATTATTTAAATTAGCCAGATGTGGTGGCTCCCTGTAGTCTGGCGACTCAGGAGGCTGAGGCAGGAGGCTCACTGGAGTGCAGATCCTGCCACTGCACTGAAATCTGGGTGACAGAGCAAGACACTGGCTCTAATAAATAAATACATAAATAAAGTACCACAGCTAGTGGTAGCCAATCCTGCCAAGTCAGGCCTCTGCCTGTCTGGTGCCAAATTACACGCTGTGTCTTTTAACCTGATTACCCAGACCACAAGTGTTTGTGAATATTTTCCCCAGGAAAAAACAGAAGTAGTTCTAAATTCTATTCATCCATTAGCTTAGTTTTACCTATGGATTGGAAAACCAGGTCTGATTGCATTTCAGGCGGGACAGCCCTTAGTGCACTGTCTGGCGGGATTTTGCATTTAACCTCCTTCTGGAAGCGCCTTCTCATGGTAAAGTTACACAGTGCCGCCAGGGCGCCGAGGGGAGGCGGGGCTGGAGGCGCCCCGCAGAGGGCTACGCGCCCTGCTGAACAGGGGTCTCCTGCCTCCTCGGCCCCAAACCCACCTTCCACAACCCCTGTGGGAAGCCTCAAAGGGAGGAGACGGGCCCCTGGCCCTGCCTGAGCACCTTGCGTCTCAGGTAGATCCGGGTCGGCCTCGGGACCCTGCTTGGCCTGGGAGATCCCCTGCAAGGCGTCCACAGGCCGCCGTCGCCTCTTCCTCCTGCTCTTCATCCTCCCAGACCTCATGGGAACCATTCATGGTTAAGCCCCTTTCGCAGAGTTAAGCCCCTTTGCAGCCTCAGACCCTCAGGCGAGACAGCCGTGACGCCTCACCTAGAGCGCGGCCCGGGGATGTGGGCGGAGTCTGCGGCACTGCGCTGACCCGTGTCAGATGTAGCGTCCGTCGGCTGGCGTCAGCCCCGCCCAGTGCGGCAGGCTCCCAGCGGTCCCGGCAACCCGGTGTTGTTGGTTGCCGTGGAAACCGTGGCTCGCCTGAGGCTGAGGCTCCTCGCCTGAGAGGTAAACTGCACAGCGCCACAGGCCATGCACTGGGTTGGGCCCCTTGTGGGCATTTATCCTCCTGCCTCCTAGGGGTTCAATATCGCGCCCCCTTTCATGGACTGGGAAACACGCCTGACTCAGGACATGTTTTCCTCACTGCACTGGGGAAGGTGGCAGAGGACAGCTTTCAGGAGGGCCTGGGGGCTCCCGCAGAGCCAGGTCACCCTCTCCTCTCTGGGCCTGTTAGTTCTTTGCATGCTCTGACCTTTTGCATATGTGCTGCTCCCTGCAGGGAACCTCCATCCCCATCTTTTTCTGCTTGTCAGACTTTAGAAATCTGCAAGAGTCAGCTTAGAGAGTCATTTCTTTTTTTTTTTTTTTTTTGAGACGGAGTCTCGCTCTGTCGCCCAGGCTGGAGCGCGGTGGCCGGATCTCAGCTCACTGCAAGCTCCGCCTCCCGGGTTCACGCCATTCTCCTGCCTCAGCCTCCCAAGTAGGTGGGACCACGGGCGCCACCACCTCGCCCGGCTAGTTTTTGTATTTTTTAGTAGAGACGGAGTTTCACCATGTTGGCCGGGATGGTCTCGATCTCCTGACCTCGTGATCCGCCCGTCTCGGCCTCCCAAAGTCTACTAGGATTACAAGCAAACACCGCGCCCGGCCAGAGGTCACTTCTTACTGAAGCTTTCCTCAGCACCCTCCGCCCTGCTGCTGCTGCGCTCAGGCCGTCCTCTCCTGGCACTGATAACAGCTGTCTCTCCCCACCCTCCCACCACCTCCCACCTCCCACCCCAGGAAGTGAGGCCAGAGGCAGGGACAGGCTGCTGTGTTCTGTGTGCTACCAGAGATTATACAAAGGGAGATGTAGGGAGGGTGGGAGGTGGAGACAGCTGGGGTTAGGGGCTTGAGTGCTGGGTGTCAGAAGCTGGATCCTGCTTTAGTGGAAGTGTCCCTTTAACAGTCGCTGGCCTGGCCTGGCTCGGGCCCTGCTTTGCCTCCTGTTCAGCTGTGACTGCAGCTACCATGCTGACTCATGTGCCCGCAGCTAGCAGGAGCTGGCAGCATGGGCTCCCCAGGGGCTACGACAGGCTGGGGGCTTCTGGATTATAAGACGGAGAAGTATGTGATGACCAGGAACTGGCCCGGGTGGGCGCCCTGCAGAGCTGCTGCAGCTTGGGATACGTAGTCTATGTGGTAGAATTGAGAAGAACTTTTGGCCAGGCTGGAGGGGGCAGGGAAGAGGTGGAAGTGGGGTTAGTCCTGCTGGGTTGAAGTTGAGGTTGGGCTGTTTAGGGCTGGAGAAGGAGGCAGATTAGTTCGGGGCTGGGGAAGTGGAGGCAATACAAGACAGAGAAGCAAGAGCATGACTGTGTGTTTATCCTGTGTGCCCACCTGCCTCCTTCAGTCCTCATGGCCCCACCCAGGGGGCGCAGGACATCGTCCTTAACAACATCTATGAGAGCTGGGCATTAGCCCCAGAGACCACCAGCTGTATCTTGGGTCAGGAGTCTAGAAGCTGAGGCTGGGTCTGAGATGAGGCTGGGGGTGGGTGCTGGCTGGGGAGGTGATTGTCCGAGGCACTGGCTCTCTGACGCATGGCTGGAGCTTCTGTCGTTCAGGGGGTCTGGAGTGGGAAGTGGGGCCAGAGGAGGAGGTGGGGCCTCGATGTTGGGCTGGGAGCCTGTAGGGTGTGGGAGACAACTGAGGCATGTGGGCCGCTCCATGTCCACTGCACCCTGCGGACACACCACACTGCCTAACTTCTCCCCAGGTGGGCTCTCCTCGCCAACTTCTCCCCAGGTGGGCTCTCCTCGCCAAAAAAGGCTACCAGGACCGGGATCTTGACCCCCAGATTTCCGTCATCACCAAACTCAAAGGGGTTTCCGTGACTCAGATCGAGGAACTTGGAAACCGGCTGTGGGATGTGGCCGACTTCGTGAAGCCACCTCAGGTGGGGGCCCTGGTGCTGCTGATGAGGGCACAAGTCCTTTGCCCACTGACAGCTTGGACACCTGCCATGCAGCCATGCAGAGAGAAGCATGTGATGCCGGAGACAGCTGGGGGTTCTCAGGAAGGCCTTCACAGAGGAGTGGCGCCTGGACAGGGCTTTCAGGGATGTGTAGGAGGTTTCAGGGTGGAAAAAGGGGCTAGTCAAGAAGCCAGGCCAGGGCTGGGTGTGGTGGCTCACTCCTGTAATCCTGGTAATTTGGGAGGCTGAGGCGGGAGGATCACGAGGTCAGAAGATAGAGACTATTCTGGCTAACACGGTGAAACCCTGACTGTACTAAAAATACAAAAAATCAGCCGGGCATGGTGGCGGGCGCTTGTAGTCCTAGCTACTCGGGGAGGCTGAGGCAGGAGAACGGCGTGAACCTGGGAGGCGGAGCTTGCAGTGAGCTGAGACCGCTCCACAGCACCCCAGCCTGGGAGACAAAGAGAGACTCTGTCCCCTGTCCCAAAAAAGAAGCCAGGCCAGAGAAACTGCATTTCCAAAGACTGCCAACAGAAAAGAAGGGGGTGTCCGGGACTAATGGCTTGAGCTTGAGAGTGGTGTGGGGTGCTGGGGCATGGAACTTCCTGTAGCCCTGCTCCCTGACCTGGGGCACTGTGGTCAGGTGCTGCTCCTCCCCTCTTCTCAGCTGTGTTTCCCTCCTCCTTCCACCCAGCTCATCCCCAGCCTCAACTTCCACTTCTACTCTTCTGATGTCCAAGGTGTATGTAGGCCCAGTGAACACCTGCCCAGAGCACAGCTGTCTTCCAGGTGCACACCCACATGTCCAAAGATCAACTATTTCCCTCTCCTGGCATGGCCTCTGTGACATCCACTAGTCACGATGGCTGTGACATCCACTAGTGCCTCAGCCAGATTCGTGACTCAACCTCGACCCCTTCCTGTCCCTTCCAAGATTTTTCACCACTACCCTTGCCATGCCTGCATGAGACTATGGCCTGCTAGAGAGCCCTTAGATGCCCCTCTCGCCTCCTCCCTACTGCTCGGTGCACACCACGCAGCAGCCAGGCTGAACTTTCACACCAGGCATCCTCAGAGCCTGCAGCCCCTGCTTCTACCCTCAGGAATTCCCCCAACCCTGCCTATGACGGTGTCCACACATTCCTCCCAATCCTAATGGCTGCCACTCCCACCACCCTCTGCTCAGCCCTCGCCTTCCCTTCCTGTGCATACATTCCTCAAATTCACAGTGCTCTCACGAGCAGCACTGGAGGGTCAGCCTTTCTTTCCAATGTCCTAGGCCACCCATTGACCACAGGCAGAGCTTTCCCTCTCCTCCCCTGGCCCCTGCTGTGCCAGTGCTGCTGTGTGTGGGATGGGAGACTCACCTCTTCTCCATCCTGGGCAGGTGTCGGGCCCAGCTCTCCCCTGGATCTTCAGTACTAGAAGCAGCAGGCTGTTGGAATATTCTGGTTGAAGCCAGGCATGGTAGCTGGAGCCTGTAGTCCCAGCTACTTGGGAGGCTGAGGCAGGAGGATCTCCTGAGCCCAGGAGTTAGAGTTTGCAGTGAGCACTGATGATAACACTGCACTCCAGCCTGGGTGACTAAGTGCAACCCTGTCTCTAAATGCACACAGACACACGCACACACACAAATAAATTTTGGTTGAGCAAATGAGAAAGAAACTTGTCTCAAGAGATGGACGTGGGCATGAGGCTTCCTGGTCTCAAAAATGGCCAGAACCCCTGCCGGCCTCCCATCTCTGCTTCAATCTGCCTTATGGGGGGACAGGGTTAATGACTTGACGGGGCCAACATCCCTTCCCTCATAAACCAGGCTGCCGGCTTCCGGCCTTTCTGGTCGATGCGAGCCCATCCAGGCCAACCTTGAGATTTGCCTCCTAGGGTGAAAACGTGTTCTTCCTGGTGACCAACTTCCTTGTGACGCCAGCCCAAGTTCAGGGCAGATGCCCTGAGGTGAGTTTGCCCAGGATCCTCCCAGCAGGCCCCTCGTTCCTCCACCAGCCCCAGGTGGCCACCCGTGTTTCCCTTTCCCCTTCCCAGGTGGTTGAAGGCTCAGCATGTGCTTAGTGTCCCCCAGGCCCTGGGCTACATCTTTGTGTGAATCATTTCTTTCAGTCTTCATATATCCCCTGCCTGGTAGGAAGTCCTGTGATCCGCATTTCAGAGGAGAAGACTGAGGCTCGGTGAGGTTGAATCACTTTCTTAAGGCCTCCCAGCTTGTGGGTGACAGTACCCCGAGCTCTGGGCAGCAGCAGTTCCCATGAGGTGCCCAGACCCTCCTCATCCTGGTCCTGCCTCTGGGTACTCTCCAGGTTGTTAGTGTGACACCCAGAGCTGGGCACATGCTCAGGGAGGCTCTAATAGCAAGAGCCAAGCTGGAATATCACCTCCCCTTCTCTGTGCCCAGCCTCTGTTAATGTGTCCTGAAGCAGCTTTCGTCTTTGTGAGCCAACACAGCATACTCTTGCTCATGGTGAATTCAGGGTTGCTTATGATTTCTGGATAGTTTTGTTTTGTTTTGTTTTTGAGACAGAGTCTTGCTTTGTCACTCAGGCTGGAGTGCAGTGACGCGATCTTGGCTCACTGCAAGCTCCGCCTCCTAGGTTCACACCATTTTCCTGCCTCAGCCTCCCAAGTAGTTGGTACTACAGGCGCCCGCCACCATGCCCAGATAATTTTTTTTTTGTATTTTTAGTGGAAACGGGGTTTCACTGTGTTAGCCAGGATGGTCTCGATCTCCTGACCCCGTGATCCGCCTTCCTCGGCCTCCCAAAGTGCTGAGATTACAGGCATGAGCCCTGATTTCTGGATAGTTTTTACATCAACCATGGTCAAGCCAGAGTCCCCCACCTTGTTCTTCTTCATTTCTGATCCAGAAATACTGATTCTCCCCTGACATTTCACCTTTACCCCTTGCCTGGAGATGTCCCTGGGATCCTGTATCTATCACAGAGCACGCTCATTCTCTCCAGCTGTGAATTTTGTTTGAACTATTGAGACTCAGGACACAGTCTCAAAAGTTTACTTCCACAGTGACATCTTTCTTTAAACAAGTCCAACATTTACCTGCCTCCTGGGCTGGAGGGTCATTGTGCAGACACCTGTTCCCTGAGCCCTGGTGGTTAGTCCTAGCACAGTTGCTGGAGACATCCCATGTCTGTAGTTGGAAATATGCACAAAGGATTGCTTACTCTTTTTTTTTTTTGAGATGGAGTCTCGCTCTTGTCCCCCAGGCTGAAGTTCAATGGCCCGATCTTGGCTCACTGCAACCTCCACCTCTCGGGTTCAAGCAATTCTCCTGCTCAGCCTCCTGAGTAGCTGAGATTACAGGCGCCCACCACCACGCCCAGCTAATTTATGTATTTTAAGTACAGACAGGGTTTCACCTTGTTGGCCAGGCTGGTCTTGAACTCCTGGCCTCAGGTGATCTGCCAGCCTTGGCCTCCCAAAGTGCTGGGATTACAGGTGTGAGCCTGCCGAGACCAGCTTGGTCAGGGAGACCCTAACCCAACGGCGCTAGAGAAATTAAAGACACACATACAGAAATACAGAGGTGTGGAGTGGGAAATCAGGGGTATCACAGCCTTCAGAGCTGAGAGCCTTAAACAGATTTACCTACATATTTATTGACAGCAAGCCAGTGATAAGTATTGTTTCTGTAGATTATAGATTAACTAAAAGTATTCCTAATGGGAAACAAAAGGATGGACCAAAACAAAGGGATGGGCTCTGGCGAGTTATCTGCAGCAGGAGCATGTCCTTAAGGCACAGATCGCTGATGCTATTCTTTGTGGTTTAAGAACGCCTTTAAGCGGTTTTCCACCCTGGGTGGACCAGGTGTTCCTTGCCCTTATTCTGGTAAACCCACAACCTTCCAGCGTGGGCGTCATGGCCATCAGGAACATGTCACAGTGCTGCAGAGATTTTGTTTATGGCCAATTTTGGGCCACTTTATGACCAGATTTTGGGGGCCTATTCCCAACATGAGCCACTGCGCCCAGCAGGATGTGCTTACTCTTAATGAACCCACACAATGTCCTTCCCTTTCTTTTTTTTTTTTTGAGACGGAGTCTTGCTCTGTCGCCTGAGCTGGAGTGCAGTGGCCGGATCTCAGCTCACTGCAAGCTCTGCCTCCCAGGTTTACGCCATTCTCCTGCCTCAGCCTCCCGAGTAGCTGGGACTACAGGCACCAGCCACCTCGCCCGGCTAGCTTTTTTGTATTTTTTAGTAGAGACGGAGTTTCACCATGTTAGCCAGGATGGTCTCGAACTCCTGACCTTGTGATCCGCCCGTCTCGGCCTCCCAAAGTACTGGGATTACAGGCTTGAGCCACCGCGCCCGGCCTGTCCTTCCCTTTCTTAATGCTCAGGTGTCTATTTAATATACCTGTTTGTAGACTGTTTTGAAATTTGGCTGGATCTGTGGGTCTGTGTTTTTCAGAAGCTGTGCAATTCCTCTTTGTCTGCAAGCACACTTCTGGCTCTTCCCATGAAACGTCAGGGCTGGGTCGTAATTATCAGATCTGACAACCTGGCTTTCCCAGAAGACCAGAGTTCTGCCAGCTCCTCTCGGGATCCTGGCGCCTGATCCCTCCCGTACATGCACCGTGCTCCTTTAGTGTCACCTCCCTCAGCAGACACTGCTGAGCCTCCCCACTGGGCCAGGGGGCTAGCTATGCTGAATTCACAAAACTCCATCTCCCATACCTCAAGGACCACCTGCGTGGACAGCCTAGCCAAGGTGGCAGGTCCTATGATGGGACAGAGGCCATAGGTGGGGGACCCAGGGCTGCACTTGAGCAGAATCTTTTTTTTTTTTGAGATGGAGTCTCACTCTGTCACCCAGGCTGGAGTGCAGTGGCATGCTCTCAGCTCACTGCAACCTCTACCTCCTGGGTTCAAGCGATTCTCCTGCCTCAGTCTCCCAAGTAGGTGGGACTACAGGCACAAGCCACCACACTTGGATGATTTTTGTATTTTTAATAGAGACAGGGTTTCGCCATGTTGGCCAGGCTGGTCTCGAACTCCTGACCTCAGGTAATCCACCCACCTCGGCTTTCCAAAGTGTTGGGATTACAGGTATGAGCCACCACGTCCGGATGAGCAGAATCTTAAAAAAGGGTGAGGAGAAGCTGGCGAGCAGGTGGATTTGGCTGGAGCAGAATGTCCACACAGAGGGGGCTTGGTGGGCAAAGGCGCCGAGCTGTGTGAGGTGAGGTGCCTTTAGGGCTACCAGCCACTGAGTGGAGCTGAAGTGAATATTTGAACTGGGGTGGGAAGAAGGTAGTTCAGGATTTCAGGGGCCCCTGTAAGCCCCACTATGGAGCCAAACTGTTTTTGTTTGTTTTCTTTTTTTCTTTTCTTTTTTCTTTCTTTCTTTTTTTTTTTTTTTTTTTTTTTTTTTTTTTTGAGACAGGGTCTTGCTCTGTCACCCAGGCTAGAATGCAGTGGTGTGATCACAGCTCACTGCCTCCTTGACATCTCGGGCACAAGCAATTTTTCTGCCTCAACCTTCTGAGTTGCTGGGACTATATACGTGGGAGTGACCATACCCAGCTAATTGTTAAACCTTTTTTTTTTTTTTTTCCTGTAGCGATGAGGTCTTGCTTTGTTGCCCAGGCAGGTCTCGAACTCCTGGGCTCAGGCAATCCGCCCGCCTTGGACTCTCAAAGTGCTAGGATTACAGGCATGAGCCACCGTGCCTGGCAGGAGCTAAACTTGATGAGAGGAGCAGAAGAGAGCCACACATGCGCTCAGAGGCAGGGTGCTCAATCTCCTTCACATTGTGGGATGCACCACTTGGGCTGCTGGGGGTAGGTGGATGAGGGTAGGGGGAGACGTGGGGGCCCCATTGGTGGTCACTGTGGGGTCTAGTTAGAGGAGACAGTAGCCCAGCTGGGGTGGAGAGGAGAGGCAGACACAGGACATAGGTAGGGACAAAGAAGCAGAGCATGTGGCTCTGTTCCACCCTCCACCCAATCATGACGGCCCTGTCTTTCAGAAATTCCCACTGCCTCATTCTGGCTTCTCAGAGGCGCTCAGCCTTCTTTGAGCCCCTGGTGCTGGTGTTCCTCCTGCTGCCCCTGAGCTGAGTGCCCTGGGCAGCAGTGTCCATCCTCAGCCGGGGCAGAACCGTGCCTGGGAGAGTGCCTGGTGCTCAAGGGTGCTTTCCTCTCTTGCGTCTGGGACCCCAGAAAGCTCGCCTGTCCTTCCCTTCTGCCAGAGCCCCATAGTCCTATGCCTCTGTGCAGGCATTAATGTCCCCAGGTTACAGAAGAGCGAGCAGAAAGGAGTAGCCTGTGGCCCCTCAGCAAGGGTGTGGGGTCCTGCTTTAATATCCAACCCCCTGACTCTAGGGCCCTGATCTTTGTCAGTTATGCCCCCATTTCGGGCATCAAAAACTTACCCTCCCAAGGTATATTCACCTTCCCTGATCTGTCATCCAGATTGGACCAGAGGAGCTAGACCTGGAAGAATCACTTCCGTGTCCACCATGGACAGAACTGTCAGGAGGGAAGGGCAGGGTGCGTTGTCTCACACCTTTAATCGCAGCACCCTGGGAGGCTGAGACAGAAGGATTGCTTGAGGCCAGGAGTTTAAAACCAGCCTGGTCAACATGGCAAGACTCCATCTCTACAAAAAAAAAAAAAAAAAAAAAAAACTAAACTAAAAAATCAGCCAGGCACAGTGGTGTGTGTTTGTAGTTCCAGCTACTGGAAAAACTGAGGTGAGAGGATTGCTTAAGCCCAGGAGGGCGAGGCTATAGTGAGCCACGTTCGTACCACTGCACTCCAGCCTGGGCCACAGAGTGAGACCGCATCACTAAAAACACATTTTTTTAAAAAGGAGGAAAGGGGTCTCCCTTTGTCTTTGAAATACAGCATTGTACCCTCATCTGGCCAGTGCGTTGCTCTGCTCCCTCCTCTGACCATCTCCTTTTATTTGCACTCTCCAGCTTTCCTGTGTGGCCCCAAACTCAGGGTACTCTGGTGGGGGGGTGGTGAGGAGGTTTAAGGTGGGAAGGGGGCCTGTCCTTCCCACCTTGAACCTCCCTGCCTTTGAGACTGGGCTGTGGAGGGGAGACATCCCCTGTGCCATCGGTGACTGCTCTCTTGCCCACCTCAGCACCCCTCTGTCCCACTGGCTAACTGCTGGGTCGACGAGGACTGCCCCGAAGGGGAGAGAGGCACGCACAGCCACGGTAACTGTGGGCTCTGTCTTCCAGTGCCCCCAGCAGGGTGGGGGCTGGGCTGGGATCCTGGGTGGCTCCTGAGTGTAGGCCCCATTCGCCTCTGTCCCTGCATCTCTCTTTCTGCCAACAACCCCTTGGCTGACGCCTCCCCAGCCCTGCGGAGATTTGAAGGTCTGGAGTTCATCTTTTGTTTTTCTAGGTGTAAAAACAGGCCAATGTGTGGTGTTCAATGAGACCCACAGGACCTGTGAGATCTGGAGTTGGTGCCCAGTGGAGAGTGGCGTTGTGCCCTCGTAAGTGTCCCCACAATCCCCCACCCCCACCGGTGCAGGGCCCCAGGCCTGGCAGAGGCTGTCACCTCCCTTCCACCTGCAGGAGGCCCCTGCTGGCCCAGGCCCAGAACTTCACACTGTTCATCAAAAACACAGTCACCTTCAGCAAGTTCAACTTCTCTAAGTAAGCAGAGTGGGTCTCATCTGCCCCAAGACCCTCCTTGTCTCCTACCTTGTCTGACCTCCCCCACCCCCGCCAGGTCCAATGCCTTGGAGACCTGGGACCCCACCTATTTTAAGTACTGCCATTATGAACCACAACTCAGCCCCTACTGTCCCGTGTTCCGCATTGGGGACCTCGTGGCCGAGGCTGGAGGGAACTTCGAGGACCTGGCGTTGCTGGTGGGTCCCGAGTTGGGGGCAAGGTTCCCGGAGGGCTCTGGGAGAGGGTCCTGGGCCCACCCACCAGTGGAACAGCTGTGTGCTATGTGCAGGGTGGCTCTGTGGGCATCAGGATTCACTGGGATTGCGACCTGGACACTGGGGACTCCGGCTGCCGGACTCACTACTCCTTCCAGCTGCAGGAGAGGAGCTACAACTTCAGGTGCGGCCCCACTGCTCCCAGTGCCCAGCTGCTGTGCCCATCGCCCTCTCCCTGTGGCGGTCAGGACAGACCACACCCAGGCCCAGCCCTCTGGATATTCCACTGGTGTGCGAGGGGCTCCCAGGAGCAGGAGAGAGCTGTTCTCAACCCCACATCCTCCAGCACAGGCTCCATCCTGCTCCCCCAAGTCCTGAGCCCTCCACCCCATCTGTCCCGGGCCCTTGCCCAGCTCAGGCTCCTCACTGTCAGCCCTTCCTCCACCCCACCCTGCCTCTAGTATCTCCCTTCCATAGCAATGGGGTGTTTCCTTTTTACTTTCCCTTCTTCCTTTCAGCTTTTTTTTTTTTTTTTTAAGACAGAATCTCATTCTGTCACCCAGGCTGGAGTGCAGTGGCCCGATCTTGGCTTACTGTAAACTCCGCTTCCCAGGTTCAACCGATTCTCCTTCCTCAGCCTCCGAGTAGCTGGAATTACAGGCGCCCACCATCACTCCTAGCTAATTTTTATATTTTGGTAGAGATGGGTTTTCACGATGTTGGCCAGGCTGGTCTCAAACCCCTGACCTCAGGTGATCCACCCACCTCAGCCTCCCAAAGGGCTAGGATTACAGATGTAAGCCACCATGCCTGGCCTCCCTTCAGCTTTTACCTCAACATTTTTAAAAAAAACTCTAGACAAACTTAAGATTAGTACCGTGAACACCCATATACCTTTATCTGGGCTTACCAGTTTTTATGTTACCATCTGGCCACATTTTCTTTCTCCGTCTGGAGTGAACTGGATATGTTTAGATTTCAAATGGAACTGTTTGAAAGTAGGTGGCAGACATCTGGACACTCACCCTTTTCACCATTGTCCTGAGAACAGGGACCTTCCCCGTGTAGCCGCTGTCTTATTGTTGCACTCAAGAAATTGACCTTTGGGTGCAGTGGCTCATGCCTGTAATCCCAACACTTCGGGAGGCTGAGGTGGGAGGATCACCTGAGCCCAGGAGTTTGAGACCAACCTGGGGAATATAGGGGGACCCCCATGTCTACAAAAAATACTTCTAAAATTAGCTGGGCCTGATGGCAGATGCCTATGGTCCCAGCTACTCAGGAGGCTGAGGTGGGAGGATCATTTGAGCCCAGAAGACTAAGGCTGCAGTGAGCCATGATCATGCCACTGCATTCCAGTCTGATGACAGAGTGAGATGCCATAAAAGAAAGAAAGAAAAGAAAGAAAGAAAGACATTTAGCAAGAGTAAATCTTTTTTTAATTTTTAAAAAACAGTATAGAAACGGGGTCTCACTATGTTGACCAGGCTGGTCTTGAACTCCTGGCCTCAAGTGATCAGCTTCCCACCTCAGCCTTCCAAAGTATTGAGGTTACAGGTGTGTGACCCACCTAATGGCAACTGCAACCTCTGCCTCCCAGGTTCAAGCAATTCTCTTGCCTCAGCCTCCCAAGTAGCTGGGATTACAGGCATCCACCACCATGCCTGGCTAATTTTTGTATTTTTGTAGAGATAGGGTTTCACCATGTTGGTCTCGAACTCCTGACCTCAGGTGATCCACCCGCCTCGGCCTCCCAAAATGCTGGGATTATAGGTGTGAGCCACTGCACCTGGCCCTTTTTTTTTTTTTTTTTTTTTTTGAGACAGAGTCTCACTCTATTGCCAGGCTGTAGTACAGTGGTGCAATCTCGGCTCACTGCAACCTCCACCTCCCAGATTCAAGCAATTCTCCTGCCTCAGCCTCCCGAGTAGCTGGGACTACAGGTGTGCACCACCATTCCTGGCTGATTTTTGTATTTTTAGTAGAGACGGGGTTTCACCATGTTGGCCAGGATGGTCTCGATCTCTTGACCTCATGATCCACCTGCCTCGGCCTCCCAAAGTGCTGGGATTACAGGCGTGAGCCACCACGCCTGGCCTTTATTTATTTTATTTTTTATTTTTATTTTTTCTTTGAGACAGAGTTTTCACTTTCTTGCCGTCCAGGCTGGAGTGCAATGGTGCGATCTTGGCTCACTGCAACCTCTGCCTCCCAGGTTCCAGTGATTCTCCAGTCTCAGTCTCCGGAGTAGCTGGGATTACAAGTGTGTGCCACAATACCTAATTTTTGTATTTTTAGTAGAGATGGGGTTTTGCCATGTTGGTCAGGCTGGTCTCGAACTTCTGACCTCAGGTGATCCACACACTTTGGCCTCCCAAAGTGCTGGGATTACAGGTATGAGCCACCATGCCTGGCTTTTTTTTTTTCTTTTTCTTTTTTTATAGATGAAATTTTGCTCTTGTTGGTGCCAGGCTGGAGTGCAGTGGCCTGATCTCGGCTCACTGCAATCTTTGCCTCCCGGGTTCAAGCAATTCTCCTGCCTCAACCTCCCAAGTAGCTGTCATTACAGGTGCATGCCACCACACCCAGCTAATTTTTGTGTTTTTAGTAGATATGGGGTTTCACCGTGTTGGTCAGGCTAGTCTTGAACTGCTGACCTCAGGTGACCCACCTGCCTCAGCCTCCCAAAGTGCTGGGATTACAGGCATGAGCCACCGCACCTGGCCTCAAGGTTCTTAAATTGCATTTATTATCATGTCTTTGAGTCTTCTAAGCAGATTTATTGGATCCTTCTGCCACTGAGTGTCACCTCATCATGCAGGCAGGCACACATGGCCACCAGGCCTGGGGATGATGCCCCTCAACACAGCTCACTGCATCCTGTCTGGTCTGGCTTCCCCAACCTCCCGAGCCCTTCGAAACCATGCGGGGCTGGCTCCCACCCACATCCCGTTCCCCCCACCTCTGTGCTGGCAAACCATCTGTGTGCATGTTCCTCCAGGCCCAGTCTCATGTCCCCTCTAGGAAGCCTACCCCAGTTGCCAGGGAAGAGTGAGTTCCCATCTCTGGAATCCCTCAGCCCTGAGCCTGCTCCTTCACATCCCCGCTGCTGGGTCTGTTTAGGGACTCCTCTGTCCCCCATCCCCTCAGCAGGCAGGGAACTTCTGAGGGATAGGTCTTGGTTTGCTTTTTCTGTTTTCTCACCAATGACACAGGGCTGAGACCCAGGACTCAGGCTTGGGCTGGGGTTTACAGTCAATGGATAAGTTGGACAGAGGCCTGGCAGGGCCAGCCCCACCTGTGGGTGGGCAAAACAGGCCACCAGAGCCCTCTTTCCTGCCCATAGGACAGCCAATTACTGGTGGGAGCAACCGGGTGTGGAGGCCCGCACCCTGCTCAAACTCTATGGAATCCGCTTTGACATCCTCGTCACTGGGCAGGTAGGCACAGGTAGGGGTCAGGCCAGGGATGGGAGGCGACAAAGCAGACAGGGCTGGAGGAGGCATGAGGCCAACAGTCGTGGGCTGAGAGGTTCAGCTCAGATCTCTCTCAGGCAGGGAAGTTCGGGCTCATTCCCATGGCCGTCACACTGGGCACCGGGGCAGCTTGGCTGGGAGTGGTGAGTGCAAGCACTGTGGGCACCTGCAGGCTGCGGTGAGTGCCGCTGACCAGGGTGTATCCAACGCATGCTAGAGGCTCCGGTGCCTGCACATTGAATCTCAGGGTGCAGGCTGGGGAAGTGGCAGGAGAGCAGGCTCGGGGGCTGGAACATGGGTTGGCCCTGCCTCTCCCAGGTCACCTTTATCTGTGACCTGCTGCTGCTGTATGTGGATAGAGAAGCCCATTTCTACTGGAGGACAAAGTATGAGGAGGTGAGCTGAAGTCACTCTGCTTGGACTCTGGGTTCTGCCACACTTAGAAGTTGGCTGGATCCCTGACCTGCTGTCCTCGTCTGCAGGCAAAGGCCCCGAAGGCAACCGCCAACTCTGTGTGGAGTGAGCTGACCCTTGCATCCCAAGCTCGACTGGCCAAGTGCCTTAGACAGATCTCAGCACCTGCACCCACGGCCACTGCTGCTGGGAGTCAGACACAGACACCAGGATGGCCTGGTCCAAGTTCTGACACCCACTTGCCAGCCCATTCCTGAAGCCCGTAGCCGTTCCCTGCTGGTTGAGAGTTGGGGGCTGGGGAGGGTGGGGCCCTGCCTGGGGATCTCAAGGATGAGGCCCCAGCATGGAGGATTGGGGGTAGAATTCCACCCTTGAACCCCAGCAGACAGTCCCTCCCCTGACTCCTGCCTTAGCAGGATGCTGCCTCGTGGAACCACAGAAGTCAGTCACAGAAGTCATACTTAGGAAGCTGTCTGAGCGCAGCTGCTCAAGGGAGGCCCTGACTCTGATCCCAGGCTGGGTGGAGTGGCTGGAAGGAATGGTTCCAAACACCACCACCGAGATCTCCCTCAGGCTGGCTGGGTTTCGCAGCTGGAATTCGCCTCTTGGTCCCAAGGCGGGGCAGGGAATTCTAATTGTCCACCCCAGGGAGGCAAGGGGCTGCTTTCCATTGTGGGTACCTGGTGGTCAGGACATGCTGTGGAGGGCCAGGTGTGGGGCTGAGGCTGGGCTGACATCTGGAATCATCTGCCACCTGGAGCCTCAGTAAAATGCCTGGGGTCCCTGCTGCCTCTCAATCCCCAGAGCCATGTCCCTCGGGAGCTGGGCTCTGAAGGGCTAGGGTGGGAGAGTGTGGCCCCTGAGGCCTGGGTATCCAAGGAGGGGCACATGCACCTGATTCTCCTTGGGGCCCAGAGAAAGCTGATGTCATGGCTGGAGAAAGTCGCGGAGTAAAGCCAGCAAAGCCACCCTCTTCCTGTGTAGTCCTTACAGGCAGGACTGGAAAGTTGGGGGGCATCTATGGTAGACATGGCACAGCCGTGGGGAGACCAGTGGGGCAGTGCAGGGTGGACTTGGGGACCCTACCCCTGAAGACTGAGGCCCTGCAGCTACCGGGTGGGCTAAAAGGTAACTGGAACAGGCCTGGACACTTGTGCACCCATTCGGATCATGAAGGCCACACTCTTTTCACCTCAAAGCCCTTGAAGGGTGGGCAAAGACAGCAAGAGAGCCTCGGCCTGGGCCTAAGCTCAGAAACAGCTGTCGCCTCAGTCTGCACACAGGCGTGCACCCCAGGGTAGTGCCTGCAGGGACGTGTGTATCCCTGTGGGTGTGCCTGTGCCAGGCAGGTCTCAGGCGCATGCCATCCTCTGAACCCTGCTGCCCTGTCTAGGAAGCCTCCTTGGGGCCCCAGCTCTGCTCCCTGGATCTGCCACTTAGCAGATGTGGGGAGCCTGACCCCAGGCCTGTCATGGAACCGTCCTTGCCTGGTGTGTGTGGTTCCCCTCTTAGCTGGGCACCTGGATCCAGGCCCACCTGTGTCCCTGACTCAGGGTGGTCCCAGGACTGGCACCTACTCTTTGGACAGCCCCAGCATCTTTGGTATGGATTGGAGACAATTGCCTGGTTCCATGGGGCAGGTGAAGACTCGGTGCCATAAAGAATGCCACAGTGAATATGCCAGCAGGCCGCATGGCTGGCCAAGCAATTATTATTATGGATCCCTTGGGCTGTGGGCCTTCCCGTCCACCCCACCACACCTGCCCAGGTAGTTGGAGCTGATCATAAACAAGAAGGCTCTGGGCAGAGTCCACGGCACCAGCATCGGCCAAGGCCCACTCCTGAAGACCTGAAGTTCAGCTCCTGGACAAAGTTCTAAGGTCCTGAGGATGCCCCAGCCTGCACAGGCCTGCAAACCCAGGCTGCCCACAACAGAAGGGGCTCCCGGCTTGTCCAGCCTCTCTGGTCTCCCAAGGAGGTGTGGGAGAGCAGGGCAAGTGTGGGCTGACCAGCTACTCCGTATGGCTGGGGTCCTGCGCTGGCGCCTGGCTAGGGGGCTGCACAGCCTGCACTGTCTCCTCCAGGCTGCCCCTGGGGAATACCACGTAGTGCGTGGAGTTTGGCGCTGGCAGCTCCCGCTGGTTCTCCTTGCTGTGCCGGATGCCGTAGCTGAAATACACTGCGAGTCCTAGACAGGGCAGGAGGCAGGGCATGAGCCTGAGGTACAGGTTTCAGCCCTTCCTGTCCTGTTTGCCCTCCTCCTGACCCCGGTCCCAGCCTGGCCCCCACTCACCCATCAGCAGCCAGATGGAGAAGCGCACCCAGGTCAGATAGCTCAGCTTCAGCATGAGGCAGATGTTGAGGAGGATGCTCAGGGCTGGAATCAGGGGAACCATGGGGATCTGAGGAGGCAGGGGCAGGGCAGGGCTGGACCGGGCTGCAGGAAAGATCTGCCAGCCCAGGGCCCACTTTCTCGGGAATCCATACAGCCTTTCTCCCTCTCAGGAGGTTGTGGAGACATGTGCTCACTCACCATGCAGAAAGGGGTGCGGGATGGGTGTGCCATCCTCCCCAGCCCTGTGAGCCTTGTTCATTCTGGGATGGCAGTGGGGGAAGGGAAGGCAGCTGCCTGGGCAAAGCACGAGTGGGTGCTGGCTGGGGGAGGTACCTGAAACAAGTCTTCCCGATACTGTTGCTGGTGAGCCCCCAGGATAAGGAGGCTGAGCAGAAACACGATACTGGTGAGCAGGAGCAGCAGGATGTAACCCCAGTGTGGGAGGTGCAGGGTCGAGTTCCCAAAGACGAGCACGCAGCCTATGGTGATGGCTGAGGCCAACATAACGCCAAGCGCCCAAGTCACCACTGCTCCAGGGCTGTACCCATCCAAGAAGCCCAGGTAGGGCCTCAGGGCTGGCTGCAGCTCCCCTGGCTCAGGCAGGGAGGTGTGTGTAGTGCCCACTAGCTGTAGGTGGTCTGAGAAGGAGCTATGCTGCTTGGTCAGGGGGCCAGGGCTGACTGGGCCCGGGGAGCTGGGCGGGGAAGACTTCTGGAAGCGCAGCACAATGATGCTGGTGGCCACGAAGGTGTAGGCCAGGAGTGTGCCAAGGGACAGGAACTGAACCAGCGACTCCAGGTCCAGCAGCAGTGCCAGGAAGGCTGTGAGAAGCCCGAACGCCAGGGTGCCTGCCACAGGCACCTGTGTCCGGGGATGCACACGGGCAAACACCTGGAAGAAGAGCCCATCGGCGGCCATGGCATAGACAATGCGTGGCAGGGAGAAGAGGAGGCTGAGCAGGACAGTGTTCATGGCTGTAGCAGAGAGAGTGGGGAGGGTCAGCATGGCGGAGAAGCCCACCAGGGGCCTGTGCTGGGGGTCAGTGCACGGGTGGTTCCTTAGGAACATGGGCATGAGCTTGTCTGGGCTCTCAGAGTAAGCATGAGTGTGTGTAGGAGCAATAGATTGTCAGTGCTCTGCCCAAGAACAGGACATCTGGGATAGGTCACAGGCCCACTGGAGCATCTGATGAGAGCTGAGTCCCTCTGCCTAGGAAATAATCTATAAGGACATGCCCAGCACTAATATGCTATGGACCATGTGTGGGGAGGTCCCTTCCAAAAAGTTTCTGAAGAAATTTTTTTGAAGTCAAGAGTTTCTAATAATTAGCATTTTCCTTGCCCCATTATGCAACTAGTAAAACAGCCCCAGGTGAAGGTGAATCTGAGGACAGAGCCCCCGCCTTGCTCTTTTCCCTGCCACCCTGCCCAGGAAGTCTCTTACCACAGATGGAGCCAGCTGCCACGATGAAGCCAGCCCACCTGTAGCCCCGCCGGTAAAAGGCATCTGCGAGCGCTGAGTCGGGGTCCAGGCTGTGCCAGGGCACCATGAGGGTTAGCACGGTGGAGACAAGGATGTAGGCACCAGCTGCAATGGCAAGTGAGATGGCGATGGCCAGAGGCACGGACCGCCGTGGGTTCTGGGCCTCCTCGCTGGAGGCGGCAATGACATCGAAGCCCACGAAAGCATAGAAGCAGGAGGCAGTGCCAGCCATGACGCCGGAGAAGCCAAAGGGCGCAAAGCCGCCTTCCTCAGCGCTCCAGTTGTGAGGCTGGGCCAGGATGAAGCCCAGGATGACAATGAAGAGAATGACAAGCAGGCTGATGGCCGAGAAGGTGTGGTTGAGCCAGGAAGAGACACGGGCTCCACAGGAGACAAAGGCAGAGGCCAGGAGGATGATGCCAGCAGCCAGGAAATCCGGGTAGTGGCCCAGAAGGGGCACCTGCCAGGAACCCACGTGGGTCTCAGTGAAGTTTCGGACGCTGTGGCTGAACATAGAGTCCAGGTAGCCACTCCAGGCGCGGGCCACGGCGGCACCACCAATGATGTATTCGAGGAGAACATTCCAGCCGATGAGGAAGGCCCACAGCTCGCCCATGGATACGTAGGTGAACAGGTAGGCAGAGCCCGTGCGTGGCACACGTGCCCCGAATTCTGCATAGCATAGGGCTGCCAGCAGGGAGGCCACAGCAGCCACACCGAAGGACAAGAGCACAGCAGGGCCAGCCACGTCCTTGGCCACAGCACCTGTAAGCACATAGAGGCCCGAGCCCACCATGCCACCCACGCCCAGAAGAGTCAGGTCCAGTGTGGACAGGCAGCGCCGCAGTGATGTCTCCATGGTGGAGTCCTCCAGCGGCTTCAGGCGGTTCAGCTTCTGGCATAAGCGAGCCAGGCTGGCCATGCTGGGCAGTCCCCGGGCCATGGCAGGTGGCCGAGAAGAGCACCGAGCCAGCTACTGGAACCTGCTAGGGCCAGAGGGGAATGACAGGATGCCCAGCCGGCCTTCCATCCCTCCTGGTCTGACCACCCCCAGTCCTCTCTCCGTCCCTGCCCTGCGGACCTGGACACCCGAACCGGAGGCCTGCTGAAGGGCTGGAATGGGGCTGGTGTCAGAGCCTGTGGGCAGGAGGTCATAGGAAGCCTGGAGATCCTGTCTGCATCCCAGGCAGCAGAGGAGGCCTGGTGGGGCCCCACCTACTCACCTGCTGGGTGGGGTGGGGAGGGAGCAGCTCCAGGCGAAGCTGGGAGAGAGACTGGGAACGGCTCAGTGGTGGGGTCCCAGAGCCAGATGAAACCGAGCCTTCCCCAGAGTAGAGCCGGACCGGAACAGGAGCCCCGGCTCTGCGTCGGGGCGGGCGTGGCCCAGGCAGCCACCTGCCACAGACAGTGGCGGCCACACACACCCCGTCCCCGCCCCCGCCCCCGCCACCGCCACCGTGGCCAGACTGGGGTATCCGCGCGCCAGGCGGAATGCAAGGGAACCCTGGGCCCGCACACCTCCCCATGCCCGACACGCCGCTGCCGCCAGAGCCAGCTCCGCCGCGCCCCTGTCCCCGGACACCTGCGCCTTCGCCTGCTCTTGGGCCTGAGCCCGTCCCCCGTCCCCGTCCCCGTCCCGGTCCCCCGTAGGATCCGCTGCAACCTACCTGCTGCCACCGCAGCTGCCTGGGCTCTGAGCTCTGAGCCCGCCCAGTTTGCCGGCGCCGCCAAACGCAGGGCCCGCCCCTACCCCCAGGCCCCCCGCGCGGCCCCACCCGCTGCCACACACCCAGATATTTCACCCTGCCCACCCTGCCCCGACCTCGCAAGGTCATGACGGGAGCTCACCGGGGTCTAGGGAAGCCCTGTGACTGTGACTCACTCACAGATGGAGGTCAGACCACCGGCTAAGTGACTAGCCTAGGTCACTCGGGAGGTTAAGGGCCACGTCTGAAAGTCCGCAGCCCACCCTCTTTCCACTGCAGCGGACACCCTTCTTGATCCCTCACCCCAGTACGTGAACCCCACCCAGCTGGGCCCCAGACAGACCCCGCAGCACCGTCATGTGAGCTTCAGGCACAGTGAGTTAAATGAAGACACAGGTCTGCCGGAGTGGCCTGGGGCAGTCCCTGACCTCTACTCTTACAAAGGGGTGGCAGTCAGCCACCCTCACAGGTTGGCAAGAGACTGCAGCCTTTTGAGAGAGTTCTGCGAATTGGGGGAACGCACGCTGGCTGTTTTGAGCCTGCGCTACCACATCCTGCAAGGGAGCAAGCAGTTTCTGGGACGAACCTCACAGCCCTCCAGTAGGGGACTAGACCTCCTCAGACCCCAGTGGTAGCTCCTCCTAGCCTAGGTGCCTCTGGCAGTAACCGGGAGGGCCCTATAGGACCCCAATAACAGATCCACACTTGTGTTTATCAGTGACAGCCACTGTGTCCTGAGTACTGCATCCCAGCGCTCCACGCCCCAGGTAGGCAGCACCAACACACCAGGTTAATTTTTAAATTTTTTTTTTTTTTTAGAGACTGGGTCTCACTATGTCGCCCTGGCTGGTCTCAAACTCTGGGACTCAAGCGATTTTCTTGCCTTGGCCTCCCAAAAGGCTGTGATGAACCATGGCTCCTGGCCTCCCCAGAATGCTATACTAGACATGTGTTCAGGCTTATGTGTGGTTTGTGGAATGGGATCTTAGGAGCATCTGCGGCCTATCCAGCTGGGCTGGTGACAGGATGATGGACTCCCAGACAAGATAGTGCTAATTTGGAACATTCTGCTTCGGCCAGAATGCCAATACCTTCTAATATTTGGCTGGTATTGTCTTGAGGAACTTCTCAGATGGCTCCCACTTCCGGTGGGATGGTAGCTTCCTCACCCCATCCCTGTGTTGCCTGAGCAGACATCCCTTGTCCTGAAATGCCACCACAAAAGTCTAGGCACTTCAGGCCAGAGGCTTAGGCAATTTTGTAATGGGAGCTCCCCTAAGGCCTTACCAATGACCACCTTATTGCTGGTGTCCAGTGTTTTGGAGTGTTGACTTTTTATCCACCTGGAGAAAGTGTGACACCACACCTTCTGCCACAGGCACCAACATACAATGGATATGTGACACTAAGCCAGGCTAATGCAGTAAATTGTACATTTCCAGGGATATTTCACTCACTACTGAGTGAGACAGTTACACAGAGCAACCCCACAGTGATGCAGTGAAGATAAACCACCAGGAAACAAAAAGAGGAGGGAATAATTTCTAACTCATTCTACAAGGCCAGGATTACCCTGACACCAAACTCGACAGACATCACAAGAAAAAAAAGCCACAGACCCAAATCCCTTATGAATATAGATGTAGAAATCCCCAGCAAAGCACAGTGGACTCTTGAACAACACAGGTTTACTAATACACAGATGTTTTTCAACCAAATGTTGATAAAAAATACAGTATTTGGCTAGGCCCAGTGGCTCACACCTGTAATCCCAGCACTTTGGGAGGCTGAGGTGAGAGGATCGCTTGAACCCAGGAGTTTGAGGCTGCAGTGAGCTATGATCCTGTCACTGCACTCCAGTCTAGGTGGCAAAGCAAGACCCTGTCTTCAAAACTACTAAATAAATAAATTAAAATAAGTGGTGGGCACCTGTAATCGCAGCTACTTGGGAGGCTGAGGCGGGAGAATCGCTGGTACCCTGGAGGCAGAGGTTACAATGAGCTGAGATGGCGCCATTGTACCCCAGCCTGGGTGACAGAGTGAGACTCCGTCTCAAAAAAAAAAAAAAAAAAAAAAATTCATATGGAAATGCAAGGGATCCAGAATAGCCAAAATACTTGGGTATTTTGCCTGGGTAACATAGGGAGACCTCACCTCTACGGAAAGGTAAAAAAATTATCTGGGCATGGTGGCATGCGCCTGTGGTCTCAGCTACTGGGAGTGGGGGGCGGTGTTGAGGTGGGAGGATTGCTTGAGCCTGGGAGGTTGAGGTTGCAGTGAGGCATGTTTGTGCCACTACACTCCAGCCTGGGTGACACAGTGAGACCCTGTCTCAAAAAAAAAAAAAAAAAAAAAGAAAGAAAAAGAAAAAGAAAAAGAAATGAAAGGCAACATAAATAAATGGAAAGACATCCCATGTTCATAGACTGTAAGATTTTAAATATAAAATGGCAGTATTCCCCAGACTGGTCTACAGATTCAGGAGTTGCATAGATTCAGTGCAATTCCTATTGAAATCCCAACTGCCTATTTTGCAGAAATCATCAAAATTAATGTGGAAATGCAAAGGATCCAGAATAGCCAAAATACTTTTGAAAAAGATTTGGAGGACTTACAATTCCTGATTTCTAAACTATGAAATGATTGTAATCAAGATTGTGGTGGTGATATAAGAGTAGACACATAGATGAATGGAATAGAATTGACAGTCCACAAATAAACACTTATATTTATGGAAAAGTGATTTTTAAAAGTAGACTTTATTAGGTGGGAATGGTGGTACATGCCTGTAGTCCCAGTTACTCAGGAAGCTGAGTTGGGAGGATGGCTTGAACCTAGGAGGCAACATAGCAGGACCCTGTATCTAAAAAAAAAAAAAAAAAAAAAGAGTTTTCAGAGCAGTTTTAGGTTCACAGCAATATTGAGCAGAAAGTACAGAGTTCCCATATACTTCCTCCTTCCACACACGTGTAGCCCCCTCTCCCACTACTGACATCCAGCACCAGAGGGGAATGTTTGTTACAATCGATTAACCTACATTGACACATCATTATCACCCAAAGTTCACAGTTTACATTAGGGTTCACTCTTCCGGTTGTACATTCTGTGGGTTTGGACAAATGTGTAATGACACATATACACACCATTATTGTATCATACAGAGTAGTTTCATTGCCCTAAAAACCGTCTGTGCCCTGCCTATCCCTCCCTGTTAACACCTGGCAACCACCGATCTTTTTCCTGTCTCCATAGTCCAGTCTTACTTTTGCAGAATCTTTTTTTTTTTTGAGACGGAATCTCGCTCTGTCGCCCAGGCTGGAGTGCAGTGGTGCGATCTCGGCTCATTGCAAGCTCCGCCTCCCGGGTTCACACCATTCTCCTGCCTCAGCCTCCTGAGTAGCTGGGACTACAGGTGCCCACCACCATACCTGGCTAATTTTTTTTTTTTTTGTATTTTTAGTAGAGACGGGGTTTCACCGTGTTAGCCGGGATGGTCTCGATCTTCTGACCTCGTGATCTGCCCCCCTCGGCATCCAAAAGTGCTGGGATTACAGGCGTGAGCCACGGGGCGCCTGGCCTGCAGAATCTTATGTAGTTGGGATTATAGAGTATGTAGCCTTTTCAGGCTGGCTTCTTCCCCTTAATAATATGCATTTGAGATTCCTCTATGACTTTTCATGGCTGAATAGCTCATTTTAATTTTATTTTTTATTTTTATCTTTGAGACAGAGTCTTGCTCTGTCACCCAGGCTGGAGTGAAGTGGCGTGATCTTGGCTCACTGCAGCCTCTGCCTCCTGGGTTCAAATGATTCTCCTGCCTCAGCCTCCCGAATGGCTGGGACTACAGGCATGCGCCATCACACCAGGCTAATTTTTGTATTTTTAGTAGAGAGGGGGTTTTCCCATGTTGGGCAGGCTGGTCTCAAACTCATTTCCTCAAGTGATCCACCTGCTTCGACCTCTCCAATGTGCTGGGATTACAAGCGTGAGCCACCCCACCTGGGCTGTGCTATTTTTTTTCTTTTTTTTTTTTGAGATGGAGTCTCGCTCTGTTGCCCAGGCTGGAGTGCAGTGGCGCGATCTCGGCTCACTGCAAGCTCTACCTCCCAGGTTCACACCATTCTCCTGCCTCAGCCTCCCCAGTAGCTGGGACTACAGACGCCCGCCACCACGCCCGGCTAATTTTTTTGTATTTTTTAATACAGATGGGGTTTCACTGTGTTAGCCAGGATGGTCTTGATCTTCTGACCTCGTGATCCACCCGCCTTGGCCTCCCAAAGTGCTGGGATTACAGGCGTGAGCCACCGCGCCCAGCCAGCCTGTGCTATTTCTTAAATGCAGAGATGAAGTTGCCATGTGAAAGATGCAACATTCTTATCTTCAAGGATGAGAAACTGAAATGAGAGAATTCTGTACAAACCTTGTTAAAACACTCTTATCTTTTAAGCCTCCCCACATAATTTAGTTGCTTCTTCATAACTTATTATTCTTTGTCCAATTCAGTGTATAAGTAACAGACTCTAACTTCTTCTTTGGGTCTTCATATGTCCTTATGAGGGTTCCCAACCCATGTAAAACTTGTACCCAATACATTTGTGGGACTGAGTGTGGTGGCTCACTTCTGTGATCCCAGTGCTTTGGGAGGCCAAGGGGGCTTGCTTGAGTCCGGGAGTTCAAGACCAGTCTGGGCAATATAGTGTGACCCCGGTTCAACAATTTTTTTTTTTAAATTAGACCGGTGTGGTGGGTGACATGTGCCTGTAGTCCCAGCTACTCGGGAGGCTGAGGTGGGAGGATAGTTTGAGCCCAGGAGTTTGAGGCTGCAGTGAGCTATGATTTCGCCACTGCAGTCCAGCGCCCCTTATTTATAAATAAATGTAATGGCTAGCCTTAGGGACTCTGTGAGCAAGATTAGATAACAGAAATCAGATGCAGAATAGCATATAAATAAATTTGTGTGCTTTTCTCCTGTTAACCTGTCATATGTCAATTTAATTCTTGGACCCAGCTGAGACTCTAGGGATGGAAGTGGAGTTTTGCCACCCCTACAGTTTCTGGTGACAAGGATGAGATCCTCTCAAGCCTAAAGATGGGATCCTGGGAGAACAAATAAAAGCAGCACAGGTAGGAATTCTTACCGAAGTGAACTCTTCTGGATCTCTGTCTGTAGTGCCTGGTTGAAAGAGGAGAGTAAAATTTTTCCTTGTGCCTTTCCGAATTCAAACTGGCAGGAGAAAAGCATTGGTAAGAATTGATTCTTTGAGTTACGACTCTTGTGTCAACCTTAAATAATGAGATTCAGAAAATATCAGCTAGGCACGTTGGCTTATGCTTGTAATCCCAGCACTTTGGGAGGCCAAGGTGAAAGGATCACTTGAGCCCAGGAGTTTGAGGCTGCAGTGAGCTATAATTTCATCACTGCATTCCAGTCTGGGTGACAGAGACCTAGTCTCAAAAAAAGAAAAAAGAAAAAAGAAAGGAAATATGATTTCTATTCTAGTTCAAAGCTTGAGGATGGACACCCAGGAGACAGCTTCCAAAGGGTCGGGGTCATTGCTCCAAAATGGGGAAGCTAAGGTAGAAACAGAAACAGTGCCAGCAGGATTGCAACATCTTGTGTACAAATCCAGTATGTTAGATTCGATTAGTACAGCTTGCTACATTCCAAGGAAAATTGTTTCAACATTCCGTGAGAAGAAGGCAAGCTCTGAAGGCATCTTATCTCTGATGCTGCTCAGTCATTTCCAACCATTTACAGGAAAAAGCAGAAGTTGCAATTGCATACCCCATGCCTCAGGCCACATGGCCACATTCCTCCCGAGGCTCATAGTAATGTAAAGATCTAACAGCTTGGCGGTGGCTCACTCCTGTAATCCCAGCATTTTGGGAGGCCGAGGTGGCTGGATAACTTGAGAAAGGAGTTTGAGACCAGCCTGGCCAACACAGCGAAACCCCATCTCTACTAAATATACAAAAATTAGCCCGGCGTGGTGGCAGGCGCCTGTAGTCCCAGCTACTCAGGAGGCTGAGGCGGGAGGATTGCTTGATCCTGGGAGTTTGAGGCTGTAGTGAGCCACGATTACAGCACTGCACTCCAGCCTGGGTGACAGAGGGAGACCTTGTCTCCAAAAACAAACAAAAAAAGAATTATTTGATTTCGCACTTCTGAGAGTGGTATTTGGCTCTGCATACGTAGCGGCTGTTGACTCACAGCCTCCCAGAAATATGGCTTGTTTTCCATGTCTCTGTCTTTTGTGTGATTTATTATATCCTGTTTTATGTCTTGATAACATGGCTCTGTGACCAATGAAAATCTTCTCTTTGGTTTCTGCCAGCTGGGGGGGTTGGGGGGACAGGTCGTTGTTAGGCTGCCAGCCAGCTGCCCAGGAATCAGAAACACAGTGTCTCTGTCCAACGGTTTCAGCTCTCAGAGGAGTTTGTCCTACTTGTCTCAGCTTTCATTGCCTTGATAACAATTAGGATATTTGCTTGCTTAGGCTATCTTGAGAAAGACTTTGGATCTTGAGGGGGATTGCATCTTTTCCAGCCTGTTTGGGATGCTCTTCTGTGTCTCCGGTTAAGCCAGAAAAGGCATACTGATTTTAAGCCATAAAAAGGCTTATTGGTTTTGAGTCACAATTAAAGTAGGTATGACATTGAAGATTTGGACTTTTGAATCTAAAAGCTTTTTTTTTTTTTTTTGAGACAGAGTCTCGCTGTGTTGCCCAGGCTGGAGTACAGCGGCGTAGTCTCAGCTCACTGCAATCTCTCTTTCCCAGATTCAAGTGATTCTCCTGCCTCAGCCTCCCAAGTAGCTGGGATTACAGGCGCCTGCCAACATACCTGGCTAATTTTTTGTGTTTGTAGTAGAGATGGGGTTTCACCATGTTGGCCAGGCTGGTATTGAACTCCTGACCTCGTGATCTGCCTGACTCGGCCTCCCAAAGTGCTGGGATTACAGGCATGAGCCACTATGCCCAGTCTAAAAGTATTTTAAAGAGTGCTACTGGTCAGGTGTGGTGGCTCACACCTGTAATCTCAACTTTGTGGGAGACTGAAGTGGGAGGATCGCTTGAGCCCAGGAGGTTGAGGCTGCAGTGAACTATGATCTTGCCAACACAGTGAGACCCCATCTCTAAACCGCCCCTCGCCCCCCCCGCCACACAAAAGGGTGCTTTCATCCTAAACAACTGTCCTATTGGTAACTAGAGAAAGATCAAATTAAAAAGAAGACACAAAGAAATATAGGCCAGGCACGGTGGCTCACGCCTGTAATGCCAGCACTTTGGGAGGCCAAGGCAGGTGGATTACGAGATCAAGAGATTGAAACCATCCTGACCAAAATGTTGAAACTCCATCTCTACTAAACATAAAAAAATTAGGCAGGCGTGGTGGCATGTGCTTGTAGCCCCAGCTACTCAGGAGGCTGAGGCAGAAGAATCGCTTGAACCCGGGAGGCTGAGGTTGCAGTGAGCCGAGGTGGCGCCATGGCACTCCAGCCTGGGTGACAGAGCCAGACTCCGTCTCAAAAAAAAAAAAAAAGAAATATAATGGTTAGCTTTAGAGAATTCCTTTAATCTTCCTCAACATTAAAGAACAGAAATTAGATGTAGAATAAAAGTTGAAATCTGCACCCTCTGTAAATTCTCCTCCTCCATCCACCTGTGCTCTGCTCAACCCCCAAGTCCCTGTCCCTGATCCCCTCAGAAGATCTTTCAGATATCTGGGCCCCTGACTTAAACCTACACTCCTCAAAACTTGGCCCTATCTCCTCAGCAAATTTCTTTTAGACCTAAACTTCTCCAAATATCCTTTCAATGCCCAGCTGCCTACTTATCTTCCCTTTTCCTGTAAAATTCACAGAAAGCACCCCAGCCTGTTTTCCAGGCCCAAGATATACAGGTGACATGTGAATACTGATAGCCAGAAAACAGACCTAACACAGGTTCTGGGAATGAGCAGCCAGGCTTGCTTCACTGTACCTTACAATTCCTCCCACTTCCTGGGGCTCTGTCATCAAACCTCATCAGCTCCAGGCATTCCCATGTTTAGGCCGAAACCACAAAAAAATCTGCTGAACTATCGTGCTCTTAGGAAAAAGAAACCATAAACATCACCCTAGATCTCTGATAACAAAAAATATGCTCTGAAACTCCTTCTTGGAGAAAATCTACATTCTTTCTCAGTTCCTTGAAAGTGTAAATCTTATCATATCTTTAAAACTTAAGTACCTGAGGCATTGGGCTGGGCGCAGTGGCTCAGCCTGTAATCCTAGCACTTTGGGAGGTCAAGGTGGGCGGATCGCTTGAGATCAGGAGTTCGAAACCAGCCTGGCCAACATGGTGAAACCCTGTCTGCACTAAAAATACATATATAAAAAAAATTAGCTGGGTGTGGTGGCATGCGCCTGTAATCTCAGCTACTTGGGGGGCTGAGGCAGGAGAATTACTGGAACCACTTGGGAGGTGGAAGTTGCAGTGAGCCGAGATCATGCCATTGCACTCTGGCCTGTGCGACAGAGCCAGTCTCCGTCTCAAAAAAAAAAAAACAAAAAACAAAAAACAAAAATGTCTGAGGAATTAACTAGAACAACCCCTAGTATGCTCATATGAGATTTTAAAAAAGTGTTGAATGTTTAACATTTTAGATACTTTACTTCAATAATGTTTGATATTTGCCTAATATATATGTCAAAAAAATTGCCAGCAAAATAAAACTTAATAACTAGCTTTGTCTAATGTTTCATGAAGTTTTCACAATTCAAATCTAATTTTTTTTTTTTTTTTTTTTTTTTTGAGACGGAGTCTCGCTCTGTCGCCGAGGCCTGGGTGCAGTGGCCGGATCTCAGCTCACTGCAAGCTCCGCCTCCCGGGTTTATGCCATTCTCCTGCCTCAGCCTCCCGAGTAGCTGGGACTACAGGTGCCCGCCACCTCGCCCGGCTAGTTTTTTGTATTTTTTAGTAGAGACGGGGTTTCACCGTGTTAGCCAGGATGGTCTGGATCTCCTGACCTCGTGATCCGCCCGTCTCGGCCTCCCAAAGTGCTGGGATTACAGGCTTGAGCCACCGCGCCCAGCCTCAAATCTAATTGTTAAACAAACTAAACTTATATAAATGCAAGTGGGAAAAAATTTGTAAATAAGTTATAATTATTATTTTTTGAGACTGGGTGTTGCTCTGTTGCCCAGGCTAAACTATAGTAGTGGGACTGTAGCTCACTGTAGCCTTGAACTCCTCTTGCCTCAGTATCCTAAGTAGCTGGGACTATAGGTGTGTACCATGATGCCTGGCTAATTTTTAGAAAAATTTTCTTGTCGAGTGGAGTCTTACTATGTTGCCCAGGCTGGTCTCAAATTCTGGGCCTCAAGCAATCCTCCTGTCCTGGCCTCCCAAAGTGCTGGGATTACAGGCGGGAGCCGCTGTGCCCAGCTATAAATAATTTTTTATTGTTTTAATTTTTATTTTTGACTGACTCATTGCTAGACATACTATTTGAATAATGATTATAAAATATGTCTACTTAAAAATAATTTCCAGGAGTTCAAGGCTGCAGTGAGCCATGATTGTGCTATTGCACTCCAGCCAACTCCCACTATTATTGAGACCTTGTCTCAATAATAACGATAATAATAATGATAATAATTTCTGGCTGGGCAAGGTGGCTCACACCTGTAATCCCAACACTTTGGGAGGCCAAGGAGGATGGATCACCTGAGGTCAGGAGTTTGAGAACAACCTGGCCAACATGGCGAAACCCGACTCTACTAAAAATACAAAAATTAGCCAGGCATGATGGCAGGCACCTGTAATCGCAGTTACTGAGGAGGCTGAGGTAGGAGAATCGCTTGAACCCAAGAGGCAGAGGTTGCAGTGAGTTGAGATTGCACCATTGCACTCCAGCCTGGGTGACAAAAGCACAAAAAAAAAAAAAAAAAAAAAAAAAAAAATCCAAAGTCTTTTCGGTAACCTAAAACCTTAAAGTCAAACTAAGTTAAATTAAAAGATGGTTATTTGTTGAATATCTAGATCACTTCCAAATAAGATATAATACAGAAACATTGATTGCTGAATGTAAGTATAAGCTTATTCAACTTTGGTTTCTTACTACACGGGAACAAAAGATATCTGTGTCTCTCAAGAAACGTGTCCTGGGCTGGCCTTGGTGGCTCATACCTGTAATCCCAGCACTTTGCGAGGCTGAGGGAGGAGGATTGATTGAGTCCAGGAGTTTGGAAGCAGCCTGGGCAACACAGTGAGACCCCATCACTACACAGAATAATACAATTATCTGGGTGTGGTGGCCTATGCTTGTTGCCCCAGCTATTCTGGAGGGTGAGGTAGGAAGACCACTTGGGAGTTTGAGGCTGCAGAGAGCCATGATTATGCCACTGCTTGGCTCTTGCTATTGGAGCCTCCTTGAGCATGTGCCCAGCTCTGGGTGTCACAGTAACAACCTGGAGAGTACCCAGAGGCAGGACCAGGATGGGAGGGTCTGGGCACCTCATGGAAACTGCTGTTGCCCAGAGCTCAGGTTTCTGTCACCCACAGGCTGGGAGGCCTTAAGAAAGTGATTCAACCTCACTGAGCCTCAGTCTTTGCCTCTGATATGGGGCTTACAGGAATTCCTGTGGGGATATGTGAAGACTGAACGAAATGATTCACACAAAGATGTAGCCCAGTGCCTGGGGGACACTAAGCACATGCTGAGCCTTCAGCCACCTGGGAAAGGGAAACATGGGTGGCCACCTGGGGCAGGTGGAGGAACAAGGGGCCTGCTGGGAGGATCCTGGACAAACTCACCTCTGGGCATCTGCCCTGAACTTGGGCTGGCGTCACAAGGAAGTTGGTCACCAAGAAGAACACGTTTTCTCCCTAGGAGGCAAATCTCAAGGTTGGCCTGGATGGGCTCGCATCGACCAGAAAGGCCGGAAGCCTGCAGCCTGGTTTATGAGGGAAGGGATGTTGGCCCCATCCAGTCATTAACCCCGTCCCCCCATAAGGCAGATTGAAGCAGAGATGGGAGGCCGGCAGGGGTTCTGGCCATTTTTGAGACCGGGAAGCCTCATGCCCAAGTCCATCTCTTGAGACAAGTTTCCTTCTCATTTGCTCAACCAAAATATCTTTTATTTTCGTTCTTATTTATTATTTTTTTAAGACAGAGTCTCACTGTGTCACCCAGGCTGGAGTGCAGTGGCACGATCTCGGTTCACTGCAACCTCCGCCTCCTGGGTTCAAGGGATTCTCCTGCCTAAGCCTCCTGAGTAGCTGGGACTACAGGTGCACAGAGTTTCACTTTACCTGTCCAGGCTGGAATGCAGTGGTGTCATCAACGCTTACTGCATCCTCTAACTCCTGGGCTTCAGAGATCTTCCTGCCTCAGCCTCCCAAGTAGCTGGGATTATAGGCTCTAGCTACCATGCCTGGCATCAACCAGAATATTCCAACAGCCTGCTGCTTCTAGTACTGAAGATCCAGGGGAGAGTTGGGCCCGGCACCTGCCCAGGATGGAGAGGAGGTGAGTCTCCCATCCCACACACAGCAGCGCTGGCATGTCAGGGCACAGGTGAGAAGACAGAAAGCTCTGCCTGGGGTCAAAGGGTGGCCAAGGACATTGGAAGGGGAGGCTGACCCTCCAGTGCTGCCCACAAGAACACTGAATTTGGGGAATGCATGCCCAGGAAAGGAAAGTGAGGGCTGTCAGAGGGTGCTGAGAGAGGCAGTCATTGGGATTAGGAGGGATGGGTGGCCACCATGATTGGCCGGGGGCCTCCTGAGAGCAGAAGCAGGGGCTGCAGGCTCTGAGGATGCCTGGTGTGAAAGTTCAGCCTGGCTACTGAGTGGTGTGCACCGAGCAGTAGGGAATGGGTGAGAGGAGAATCTAAGGGTCCTCTAGGAGGTCATAGTCTCATGCAGGCGTGGCATGGGCAAGTAGTGAAACATGTTGGAAGGGACAGGAAGGGGTTGAGGCTGAGTCATGGGTCTGGCTGCCGCACTAAACTAGTGGATGTCAGAGCCCTCGGAACTAGTGGATGTCACAGAGGCCATGCCAGGAGAGGGAAATAGTTGACCTTTGGACATGTGGGTGTGCACCTGGAAGACAGCTGTGCTCTGGGCAGGTGTTCACTGGGGCTACACACACCCTGGGCATCAGAAGAGCAGAGGTGGAAGTTAGGGCTGTGGATAGGTGGAGGGAGGAGGAAAATGCAGCCGAGAAAGGTGGAGGAGGAGCACCTGACAGAGGTGCCCCCCATCAGGGAGCAGGGCTACAGGATGTTCCGGCTCCAGCCCTCCCACACCCCTCACCCCTCTGAAGCTCAAGCCATTAGTCTCAAACACCCCCTTCTTTTCTGTTGGCAGCCTTCGGAAATGCAGTTTCTCTAGCCTGGCTTCTCAACCCGTACCTTTTTCTACTGGAACCTCCTACACATCCCTGAAAGCCCTGTCCAGGCGCCACTCCTCTGTGAAGGCCTTCCTGAGAACCCCCAGCTGTCTCCGGCATCACATGCTTCTTTCTCACACACACTGGCTGCATGGCGGGTGTTCAAGCGGTCAGCAGGGAAAGGACTTGCGCCCCCGTCTGCAGCACCAGGGCCCCCACATGAGGCGGCTTCACCAAGTCGGCCACTTCCCTTTGAGTTTGGTGATGGAAATCTGGGGGTCCTGGTAGCCTTTTTTGGCGAGGAGAGCCCACCTGGGGAGAAGTTGGCGAGGAGAGCCTACTCTGCATAGCTAGGCAGTGTGGTGTGTCCAGGGTGTAGTGACAGGGGCGGAGCTGGGCCTCTGACTCAGCCTTCCCCACACCCTACAGGCCCCCAGTCCCGTTAACGAGGTCCACCTCCACCCACTACCCAGACTCCCTGAATCAGAGTAGCCCAGCCATGGCAGAGAGCCAGTGCCTTTGGATAATCACTCTTCAGCCAGCACTCCACTTTCAGCCTCTACTAGGACCGGCCCAGCCTCTTCTAGACTCCCCTGACCCAAGATACAGCCAGGTCCTCTGGGCCACTGCTCCAGCTCATGATGTTAAGGATGATGTCTTGTGCCCCCTGGGTGGCTTTCATGGGAGGGACTGGGAAGGAGGCAGGTGGGCACACAGGACAAACACACAGCTTGTTCTTGTTTCTCCTGTCTTGTATTTGCTCACTTCCCCAGCCCCGAACTAATCTGCCCCCTTCCTCCAGCCTCTAAACAGCCTGCACCCTCAACTTCAACTCCAGCAGGACCAAACTCCTACTCCCCCCACCTCTTTCCCTGCCCCCTCCAGCTGGCTGAAAGTTCTTCTTACCCTACCAGACTACGATCCTGCATGCAGCAGCCTCTGCAGGGCGCCTGCCCGCCAGTTCCTAGCCACCATCTACTTATAATCCAGAAGCTCCCTAGCCTGTCGTGAGCTCCTGGGAGCTTCCAGCGCTGCCAGCCCCCAGCTGCGGCACATGAGTCAGCATGGTAGCTGCAGTCACAGCTGAACAGGAGGCGTGGCCTGCGCCAGGCCAGGCCAGCGGTTGCTAGCGACACTTACTAAAGGCAGGACCCAGCTCTACACTCCAGCGCCCCTCAGCAGCCTCAACCCTAGGCTGTCCTGTAATTTCCGCATTCTCCTTGAGCACTTTCTTTGTATAAGGCCTTCTCTGGTGGCACACAGAATACAGCAGCAGCTCTGTCCCTGCCCTCTGGCCTGCCTCCGGGGTGGGAGTGGAGGCAGGGAGGTGGGGAGGACAGCTGTTAGCTGTCAGTGCTGTAGAGATTTGGCCTGAGCGCAGGTTACCCCGGGAGGCCTCTGAGAAGCTTCCAGGAAATACAGGATTTGAGCCGACTCCTTGCAGATTCTGAAGTGAATAAGCAAAGATGGGGATGGAGGTTCAGGGGAACGAACAGCGTATGCAAGGCCAGCGATGTGGAGAGAACTGAGAGCTGTGAGGAGAGGTGATCAAATTAAGAGGTTCTCAGACCTCCTGAAAAGCTACTCCCAAGTAAGTAAAGAAAACACAAGCTCAGGAGTCAGGCATGTTTCCCATTCCACAGAAAGGGCTGATGTCAGAACCGCCTAGGAGGCAGAGAGGATAAAAGCCTCAAAGTTACCAACCCGGTGCATAGTCTGTGGCGCATGTGAATATCAGCCTGGGCGAGGAGTCTCCCACAAACATACTCTGCCAGTTTCATGGCAATTGAACAACACCTGGTTGGCGGTGGTTGACTGCCGTGAGAGCGCCCGCCGGCCGGCTGTGGGCGCCTGTCGCTGGACGGCACATTCGGTTGGTCAGCGCAGCTGCACTGCCCACAATCCTGGCTGCCTGGGTGACGCTGTTTGTCTCGCCTCAGTGGCCTGAGACTACAGAGGCCAACCAGAGGGGTTCCCTGTGGGAGAGGTCTAGGAGGATGAAGATGACAGGTGGAGGAGGGCTACAAGGCCTGTGGGCGTCTTCTTCAGGGGTCCCCGAGGCTGCAGGTTGAGGCTGACGGGGACCTTGACTCAGGCTGAAGGTGCTCGGGGAGGGGGCAGGCTCGACTCCTCCCCTTTGGGGTCCTTTTCCAGGGGTCGGGGGAGGCGGGGCTGGGGCTAAGGGCAGAGACCCGTGTCCAGCAGGGAACGTACCTGTCTGATAGGCGCCTCCGCCTTCTGTTGCCTCCCCATTGCTCCTAGAAGCATCAGTTAAAATGCAACTCGCCAGATCAGTATCAAGGGCTGTCCTGCCCTGGTTTTGCAAAGCTGGCCAGGTCCTGAAATGAATCAGCTGGGTTTTCCCAATCCACAGGAAAACTAAGCTAATGAGGTATAGAATTTAAACCATTTTGGTTTTTTCTCCCGTAAAATGTTTACAAAACATTTGTGGTCTGCATGGCATAGAAAGACACATGCAGTTTGGCATCAGGCAGGCAGAGGTCTGACTCTGGCAGGATTAGCTACCACTACCATTGTGACGCTCAGCGCAGGCCAGCCACGCCCACTGGGCAACCAACAACACATTGCCTGGCTCATATTTATTAATAAACAAACAGTATAAAATAAATTATTACTGATAGAGCCAGGGTCTGCTCTGTCACCCAGGCTTCAGTGTGCAGTGGCAGGATAATAGTCACTGGTTTGAAACTCTGCACTTAGTGTTTTCTGCCTCAGCCTTCCTGAGGGCTGACTAGCAGGCACCACCGTCTGGCCAATTTAATAAATTTTTGGCTTAAGTGTGGCTCATGCCTGTAATCACAGCACTGGATTCCAGGTGTTGATCAAATTGAGTCAGAGCTGAGATCAGCTTCCACGCAATATGGTAAAACTCACTGGCAAATACAAAAATTAGTCGTGTGGTGGTGGTGGTGTTCTTGTAACCCAGCTACTTGAGAGGCTGAGGCAGGAGACTTGTTGAACCTTTGAGGAGAGTTATGAGCCGAGATCGTGCCACTGCATTCCAGCCTAGGTGACAGCAAGACTGTCTAAAAAAAAAAAAAAAAAATTGTCTGGCCATGCTGTTTAGGTTGTCCAACTTTTCTTTTCATAGCTGTATGGGATTCTTAAGGGGAAAGATTTATGCTTGAGCTGAGTTTTGATGTCTCCTTGCATCATTGAGGGGAGTGTGGTCCTGGTGGAGGCACAGGGAAGCAAAGCCGAGAGGCAAATGACAGGGCCAGGTAGTGACACAGGTGTGGAGGACACAGGTGGCTGTAGCTGTGCAGGGGTCACATTCGTCTCTGCCCTACCAGCACCATGGTTTGGAGAACTGGTCAGGCACTGTACTGAGGTCTGCCGGGCCCATGCTGTGGCCTGGCTTCCCCAGCTGCTGCGGAGGCCCAAGAGCTGAATCCTCCGATACCGTGGCCTGGGGCCCCAGGTACCACTGGAGGGACGCTATCCAGGCCACAGGAGAGTCTGTCCCCACACTCCCAGCTCTCTGCTCAAGAGGCATGCCCACCCCTCCACATCTGGGAGACAGATGGGGCTGAGGCTGTGACAGGTGGCGCGAAGGGCTGGGAACCTGTGGATCTCACCCGCTGTGGCCACAGATGGGGGTGAGGACCTTCTCAGAGCCTAGCATATGCTATGTGCTACTAAAACAGGTGGGAAGGAGGCTTCAGCTGAGGATTTGGAGCGGCTGGTTTCCTGAGTGAGCCAGGATAGTGTCATGTGTTTGCTCTGTCTTGTCCAGGGGCGCCCGGCCTGGCTTTCTGAGCTCCAATCCACATGCTGCCGGGCGGCTGGACCCTTCGAGACAATGGGCTCTGTGGGGCGGCAGAGGGCTCTGGCAGGTGCCCTGAGCAATGTGTGCTAAGAGTATCCGTGGTAGGAAGCAAACTGGCAGGTGGTGTGCCAGGTCCCCCACTCAGGATGCCCACCTGCAGCTGGGCCATGCCAAATGCTGGAAAGCATGTGACAGGAGGGCCCACTGCCATGAGGGGCATGTGGAGTTAGACCTCTGCTGTGCAGTCAATGCTGGATACAAGTCCCTTCCTTCCTCACCCACTCCCACCTCACCCCCTCCTTGTTGGACAGCATCCCCTCTTCACCAGACTCTACCACTCCAGAGCTGCAGGTTGGGGAGAGTCCTTCCACAGAGAGGTGTGGTTGGGGCTTCAAAGTAGGCAGGGCAATGTGGGAGGTTTGACGCGTTAGGGCTAAATGCTGGGGTTCACACCACAGAGCTGGATGACTGACAAGCAGCTTAACCTCTCTGAGCTTCAGTTTCTGATCTGTGAAACTTGGCGTCAGATTTATGGGCTTGGAGCCAGGTGAGTATGAAGTGAACTACATTCTGAAGGAAGTCAGATGTGTGACCCATGTAAGTGCTCCATGCATGGCCACTCAACATACACACCCTGGCAATGGGGCCGTGAGGGCTTCTGAAGGTGGTGGAGAGAGCCACTGCCAGACACCCACGATGGGCATGTCCTCACTACAGCAGTCTCTACAGAGTATCAGGATAGAGGGTTTAACCGCTTGACATGAGAAGCTCATAAGACACAGGGAGAGGGAGGTCGGGCAGAGGGGACTCAGCCATTGGGGAGCCAGAGCCACCATCCAACCCTGGACAGCCTCTTTATAGTGCCCCTTCTGCCTCAGACCTGAGGTTTGTGATGGCAGAAGAGGAGGTCGGGAGGTGCCTGCCTCGTGTCCCACTGACTGAGAAGTGGTTCCAGCCTCCCAGCTGTGGACCTGTCGGAGAACCAGCTGGGAGTGGCAGAGCCCAGGCCCTCTGTGCTGCTTTCTACTCATCAACCAGGCTGCAAGATACAGCTGTCAGGAATGGCCTGGAGGAGTAAAGGCCCAGGCACCTTGCTGAACCCCACAGCTCATACAGACCTGAAGTCCCTGGATCTGAGCTATAACCAGCTGAATGAGCAAGAGGTAGAATGCTTGCCCAGGTACCATGGACCATGGTGCTCAGCTTCCTGGGGCAGGGGGTGGGTAAAGCAGGTGACCCTACTGCACATTGCCGGGGAGACAGGTTTGGTGTCGTCATACCCACTTATTCACTCTCTTCACTGCCACATGAACTTTTCTGTCCCTTCCACAAATATCTCATTGCCCACTGCTGCATGTGCTGCGACTGACTAGCCACCGAGATCCACCTCCTGAATAAAACCAAGTCTCCTGGCCTCAAGGAACAATGTTGATAACATCATTCTCAGAAGAAACAATAGTTTGCCGGAGAAGAATGGGACTCTGGCTTGGAAAGGTAAGAGGTGGCTGAGGCTCAGGGAGGTGACATTTAAG